ATCGCATCATCGTATCGATGGCAATTGCTGATCTTCTTGTCGGTTTGGTGGTGTGTCCATTAATGGCGTACTGGTTTTGGGCCATTCTTCACCAGAAAAATCTGACATCAGTGCTAAAGTCCCTTTTCGTCTTAACAGATGTTAGTTCGGGACACGTGTTGCTTCTCACTGTAGACAGGGTTTTTGCTTCAGTGACCCCTTTGCAGTATCGAGTTAAAGTAACAAACAGACGAGTTTGCATGGCGAGTATTGCATGTTGGGCGTATTTCATACTCTTTGGGTGTGCATTTGGTTTGTGGGAAAAAGGATACATCATTCTGATCAAAATATTCATTGTGCAAAGCCTCTTCATTCTTGTAAGCATCTTAGTTTTAAACTTGGTCATTTTCTTTGCCTTCCGAAAGCACCGCAAGACAACAGCAGCACAAGACCCCTCGACGGCAAATCGCCAAATAATGCTTCAGAGAGAGAGGAAACTATCCAAGGCCATCGCAGTCGTGATCTCTGCGTTTCTTCTATGCTCCGTGCCGTGGTATATAGTGCAGTTTTTGATGTACTTTTGCACTCCATGCAGCCCCCATTTAAGGTTGTTGCTGTTGGGTCATACAGTGACGGCTGCTTTATTGTATGCCAATTCTGGAGTAAATCCATTTTTGTACGCATGGCGACTTCCCCGATACCGAGAAACCTTCAAACATTTCTGGAAAAAATGCCAAGAACGATGCTTTAGTCAGAACAGCCAAAACGAAAACTTTGTTTGTGAAACAAGGCTCTAATGTTTTAAGGAGAAGGCTGAGTGAGTGTGTATAGAATCCCAGTTGATGTGTATTGTAAATTTTGCTCTGCCAAAGAAATGCAAATGTCAAGCCGAGCTACAGAGATAAACTTTAATGACTAATAATATTGTTAATCGCCATCAACTAGGTGCTGTTACAAATGTAAACCCGGCAAAACTTTTTATTACTCTAACGCGCCGTCTACACACGGAAGATGCAATTAGATTAGATAAGAACGGGAGTGTTTTAGTACCCACCTACCAAAATAATAACACTCACGCAAATGTTTAGTACTTGCATATAAATAAGGATTCTGGTAAAAGTATTAAAATGACAAGGATTCTGCATGAAAGCACTGTAAGAGATAATGAGTTCAACTGCGTTTCATTGTTTACACAGCTTTTCTCACAAAGATTAGAGACTTGGCCAATAATGCAGCAAAGTAATATTTCTGATTTTTTAAGAACGACGTCCCAGTCTGTAAAGCGTGATAAATAAATTGCTGACTCGTGTATTTTGTTCGAGAGAATATCTTTCCGTAATTGACCTTAAGGTGGAAACTTTACATGTGCACTATGAAAGTGGGAAATAACTTCGTTTTTCTCGTATTGATTACAGGAAAACGATGAAGCGAAAAAAGTCTTAAAAATGTCGAGTTTTTCGTGCTGTGATCATTTGAACCTTGATACTTCATCTGTGTTCGTTATAATGAATTATGGTTAAAGTCAATGAGCATTCAGATTTTCTTACAGGGCACTCGGAAATGGCCTAAATTTAGCGTGCTGCGGTGTTTTATGCGTCCTAACAACGAGTTGCGTCATTCTAAACTTGCCAGGTAAAAAAATTGTCAGAAATCTACTGCTAAAACATAGGCAAACACACTCGCGGGACATTCACACCGTTATCTTTAATCTAATAATTTTGCGATAAAGTCTTGGCATTTGACTACTCGGTACAATATACCTTTACAAAAATCCGGTCCAAAAAAAGTAATATTAACTTCAAAATGAACGAGATAAAAATCTCTTTATTATCCATGCGGTCGATAAAAAAGTCGCAAATAACGATCATGGAGTAATCAGCCTCAAGGTAGACCTGAAGTCTACCCCAGCAATTATTGCTCGCTCAGATCACCGGAAGGTTACCTCAAATGATAAGAACCTTTATTGAAAATCCAAAGGCACATTAACAGAATAAAATTATCGAAAAGACGTGAACGCACACAAAATTAAAAGAGAATTTAAACTAGAGACATGGCTACTAAATAGCATGTATTTGAACAACACATGAATCACTAAATCTTTTTATTTTTCAAATGACCAGTAACTTTCTTTGTAGTCCTTCTCTTAAATTAAGAAATATGATCAGCTCTAAACTGATCACAAAAAGTAGAGAAATTTAATAGGGTCTGCCATAACTTGATTGAATAGTTAAAGGAGGTTCCTTTGTTTAAAGACTATGACGTCGTAAGACATGGCTCCCCCGATGTCAACAATGTAGCATTTTAATTTGACTCATATCACTCACCATACTACCTTGGTATATTGATCTGACAAGAAAAGAAAAACTGAAATTTAAGGTCTTACCGGTAACTTAAAATGGCTGCAATCACAGACAGTACCAGTTTCTTCAATGTGACAAGCGACAAACTTTCAAGTGATCTGTGGCTGACTGTGGGGAATTTAAAGACCATATCAATGACTACTTCTATTCCTTCGATGGTCATGTCTCCTTTTATCGTTTGTGGAAATTTGCTGGTCGTTTTATCAGTTTGGAAAGATCCTCTGAAGAAACTAAGGTCTTTGCCATCTAATCGCATCATCGCATCGATGGCAATTGCCGATCTTCTGGTCGGTTTAGTGGTGTGTCCGTTAATGGTGTACTGGGGCTGGGCCATTTTCCAGAACAAAAATCTGACATTTCCAGCGCTCAAAGCTTTTTCTGTCTTAGTGGATGTTAGTGCGGGACACGTTCTGCTCCTTACTGTCGACAGGGTATTTGCTTTAGTAACCCCTCTCCAGTATCGAGTTAAAGTAACAAACAGACGAGTTTGTATCGCAAGTATTGCATGTTGGGCATATTTCATACTCTTTGGATGTGCATTTGGTTTGTGGGCAAGAGAAGATCTCATTCTGGGAATAATCTTTAATTTACAAAGCCTCTGCATTCTTATAGGCATATTGGTTTTAAATTTGGTCATTCTATTTGCCTTTCGCAAGCACCGCAAGACTATAGCAGCACAAGCCCAGTCGACGGCAAATCGCCAAATGATGCTTCAAAGGGAAAGGAAACTATCCAAGGCCATTGCAATCGTTATCTGTGCATTTCTTATATGCTTCGTACCGTGGTTTATAGTGCAGTTTTTGTTCTATTTTTGTGCACCATGTACCCGTCAATTATCGCGGTTGATGTTAGTTTATACATCGACTGCTGCGTTATTGTTTGCCAATTCCGGAGTAAATCCATTTTTGTACGCGTGGCGGCTTCCCCGGTACCGAGATACGTTCAAATACTTTTTGAAAAATCGGAGGGAGTACTGTTTCATTAAAAAGAGCCAAGTTGAAAACTTTGCTTGTGAAACAAGGTTGTGAAGATTAGCGGACAAGGTTGAGTGAGTGCATAGAATCTCTGAACTGCAAATGTAAAGCTCCTAATGCGAGCAGCCTTGTCACTTTCGGGACTTGTCGCTTGCCATTAACGGGTCGAAAAGCATCGAAAACAGAACTTGGAAATATCGTCAGTAGCAACAAAAAAGCGTACTTCCATGCACGTGACCCAGCAAAGGTTTGGCACACCCCAAGAAGATGTAAATTAGATTAGTAGTAGCATAAATAACGCCCTTGCTGTCAACAGTGACTGTATAAAGCAGCTTGTGATTAGCGTGGAAGCGTTAGCTTTAGTTCTTTTTCACTTCTAGGGAAAGCCAGCTACAAAATAAAGGAAGGTGTAATTGGATTTGTTAAGAACGGAGTGTTATAGTGCCCAACCGGCAAAATAATTAGAATGATGTAAAAGTTTTTTCCCGATGAATAAGGATTTTAGTAAAAGTATTAAAACAACGAGCATTCTGCATGAAAGCGCTTCAGAGATTGAAAAGAGTTCAACAGCGTTTCAGTGTTTACACAGCTTTTCCACAAAGATTAGAGACTTGTTTATGAGCAGCGGTGTAATATTTGTGATTTTATGTTTTTGATAATAACAATAATGATAATAATAATAATAATAATAATATAATAAAATAACTTTATTCATAGATTCAAAAAAATAGACTATTTACAGATTCAAGAATATGAATATTAAAATATATACCCTATGTACATTCTTCTTGTGTACGAAAGAGAATTGTCGTAAAATGACTATCTAAAAACTACTAATAACAATTATAAAAAGCATCAAAAAGTTAATAAAAAAATAAAAATATCTAAAAATAATTCAAACTGATAAAAAGTTACTACTTAAATTCTGGCTTGCGCACTTTCTGATGTAATCTCAATGTCAGATATATTGACAATAATAATAATAATAATAATAATAATAATATATTTAGAGAATGATGTCCAGGGGACAAAAACGCGCCTTCACAACGCAAGGGTTCTTAAACACAACTTTAATAATCGAGAGTTGCACACGCAGCACATTTTCTTAACAACACAACAGGATCGGAATTGGAGTCTCATCTTAGGCTAACAAGCTTCACCTCGCAAGTAAAAACCTACAAAAAAAAACACTTAATCACCGTTGGAACGGGATTTGGAAATACAAGAGCTCTTAAGACTCACCATACGATGAAAAACTCCCGGCGACTAGCGCGTTACAATTTCTCACTACACGACGACACTGAGACGCGCTCACTAAGCATGCTGGGAGTATAAATTACAAAAATGGAATGGAAAGGACTTGGGAAAACAAAAATTGTTCTCTTGTTGAGGATTGGCCTCAACACATGATACAAAGTTTCAATGCTGTAACAGTAACCTTAAGGAAATTTAAAAACATATTTATTTAAAATCAACAGTACATAGAAAAACTTTCTATAGAAACAAAGAACACCTGAACACCTGGGGATTTTTATTCTAGAGGATTGGCTTCTATCAAGGATTGCCACTTAAAGAAATGTATGTCTGTTTTCAAGAATGCTAGGGCGAGGGCTTACTAGAGAAGGGGCCTTATATGATACGCAAAGAGCTCGAGAAGAAAAGGGAAGAGTTGAAGCACCTGAAGTATAAGGTGATGCCACTCGAGATAAAGAACGATATAAATTCACTTACCTAAAATATAAAACAAACTTCCAAAAACCAATGATTGTACATCATGAACATCAAAGAGTATGTGTCTTAAATGCAACTGTGGAGTTCTGAATACACAAGGTATTTGATTAAATTACAGAAGATTAATTAGTCATCCCCACCTTGGGTTTTGGTGAGTGAGATGAGTCCCCACAGGTACACTCAGGTTGGTTCTGTGATGTCTACTACAGTCTCTTCTATTTTAAGTTCTGAAGAAAGTGCTAATAACGTATGGTGACTAATTGTGGTATTAATCCTAAAACGTCACTCTGAGAACTGATAAGGTAATGTTACTATTTTACGGAGCATGCCAATCCATACTGACAGAGAGATAATAAGTAACCAACAATTCTGACGTAAAGTTAGCAGCTCGACATGATGTGTGTCCAGGGACCAACTTACGGGGACCCTTCAGGGGTCCTCATTATGAGCGTCTACTTTCAAAGAATTACCTATTTAAGAGGACTTTTTGTGCGGGGACTCGGAAATGGACTCGGAAATGTCCCAATAATTTGAACAGACCCCACTTTCCTGGTGTGTTTTCATATAAATGTCCCCACAAGTGTGCAGCGGTGAGTGCACGCACACACACCCACACACACCCCTACACTTGGGACTTTAAGCAAAGAGTACGGAAGGGTCTAGTACGGTGACCAGAAGTAATTTTTTTCCCCACCCGTCAACGCCTCAAAATCAGGGAGTTTAACATACAACTGTACCACGACGGCTTTAGCGGTGGAAACGACGTTTAAAAGTGTATTCGCGTTCTTTTATTGTTTATCGCGATTATTTCAAAATGTTGGCGAACTCCTCAGAAGTTGAAATCGTGCAGTGACCCCCCATGGCAAGGCAATGTTAAAAAAACTATATTCATAAAAAAGTGCGTTGCATGAGCAAATTCAGGACTTGCTTGTGTTCACACCACTTGGTGAGACGATATCCCTTATAAAATATCCTCTTTTCCGTGAACTGTATTTTGCGTATTTGGCAGCACTTTTTACTTGGGTGTCGTGCTTGACACCGAATTTGGGGCTCATGCTCGAAAAGTAAGCCTTCAGAAATTTCCAAGGATGACCAAAAAAGGATGAAACATTCATATCTTACGATTCTTTTCAAATATACCTTGGCGTTCTAAGCACCTAAAATACAACTAAATACTTAATGTACTAGACACTGTCCCGGCATGATCTTCCACGTATTCGGGACAAGTTGTACGGGCCAGTCAGTAAGTTTAATTAGCAAATCAATAACTTTGCACGTGCATTTCATTGTATTATCAACATTTCTTTGCCATAACTGCACGACTACGACGTGAAAATACGTAATTTCACGTTTTGTTGAGGACGTCAACAAACGAAGACAAACTTTTTTCTCTATGGGTTCGCCTACATTTGATAAAGTAAGCGACTCATCAGTAATAATCGGGAAAAGTTTGAAAGAATGCGAATTCACTTTTTTATTAAAAAGCGACATCATGGTGCCTTGAACTTGAGGCATTGGCGCGTGGCGGGAAAAAAAATTACGTCTGCTCACCGTACTAGACCCTTCTGTACTCGTTGCTTAAAGTCCCTATTGTATAAACTGCTACAGTTAGGCGAATATTTTCAGCTTAGTTAAAAAATTCATACAATTGTCTTTGAACGTAATTGATGCAGTTCTAGTTATGTTGTTAATAATATAATTTTTTTATCATTATTTCATAGATCAAGGAAGTTTGGAGCATTAGCGAAGACAAAAGTGGGAAACATGGTTATGAAAGAATTTCTTAGGAAAAAATGGGGTGAATGTTGAATTGTTCAAGACCCATTGAAACTGGTCCACTTCACAGAAAGAAAAAAAAAAGAAAACTTTGGAGGGGAGATCACAACACCAGTGCCGAGTACAAGTGTAGTCATAAGGGAAACCCTTAGACAAAAAATTACAAATGGGAAATATCTCTTTGGAAGAAGTGATAGCACCAAAGTCCTGTCAAAAGTTAACAATAGATTCAAATGGTTCTCTAACAAAAGAATACTTCAGTGAGTGGCAGAAAAAATTATTTTGAACAAATAAGGCGGAATCTACTGCAAGAACACGAGGAGATGGGATTGGTAGGAGACCACTCAGGTGAACATTACAGGGAATGACAAACGAAGAATTGGAAAAGCACCTCAGAGATAATTGGAGACTTTAAAGAAGAGTCAGATGGTGAAATGACAAGGGAGGAAGTGGCAAATTTACTAAAACACTGGGAGCGAACACGGCACCTCATGTTCTGGTCTAACCATTCAAGTATCATGAGTCATGGACACATTCACTTAACAGTAACTGCTATTTATGACCCAGCATTTTACTATACACCAGAAAAGCTTGGTGGAAGAAATGTGCAAGATTTAATGGAAAAGTCACAAATTTACCTCCTGGCAAGATACAGAGACACCTTGAGGATCAGTTGTTGTACAGAAGACATCCAACAGGTCACCACTAAGATCGACTCTTCTCACAACGTCCCAATCACTGGCATCTGCCTATTGTTCCCTGGCGACCATCCAGCACAAGAAGTTGAGAGTGGTGAGCAAATTGGTGGAAACGTTAGCAGCTGTGGTTGTACTACGTCATCAGCACAGTACCCTGACCACATAGCTCCACAACAGACTCGCGAAGAACGATGGAAAAGTCATTGCAGGTCCAGCTGGACAAGAAAAGAGAAATGGAGGTACACATGGCTTAAGACGAGTTGATTAGAGAGTGTAAGGGTCGAAATCTCCCAACAGATGGATTGCTGAAACCAACCAATTGAGAAAGGAGTTGAAGGGCATTTAGTGGTCCCTGCATCGTCTTTCCCTCATCAACTTGGTTTAATGAAAGACCTCAACTTGGCCCAGTATCAGGTAGTGCCAGTGGAGCCTTGCTGAACTCTGTGAAATATTGTGCACTCCTGCAGACAGGCGCACCCCTCTTATTTTACGCTTACATAATGTGACATTCTGTCATGTTATCGCAATTCAGGAAATATTTAATACCACAGAGTTCTTGACACGAAGATGGCATACACTACCACAGCATATGGCATACACTACCACAGCATAACCTGCCACGCCCCTCCGACATCACGTTTAATCTTAGTTCAGTACCCACAGAGGAAGAAGAATGGAATTTCTGCGCCATCAACTCTATCAGTAAGACTTCTTCCAATGGCTACCCAGAGCAAATAATTCCTAATTGTATAGCTTGAGCTTGAGCAGAAAGAATTTTCAAACTAAGCAAGATGATGATGATGATGTTTTGCATATGCTGGGATGCAAGTGCCAGCATTCAAGTGTTTCGGGGCAGAACACGAAACACCACGACAGGAATTCTTGGGAGTTGTAGAAAGAAAGATGCATAACAAGAACGTCCCAGTAAAAGTGCGGCCCTGACCTGAACCAGAGAATGAAAAAGATAGAGATGCAATCGTCAAAGATATGGATACCACGGGCTGGGTCTGTGCTGAGTACATTGCCAGTGAACGAACAAAGTATCTGCACCTTCTACAAAGGAAAAAAAAGAAAAATTGTTGGGACAGGTGTAAAGCAGCTTTATTGTAATTTCCATTTTGCCTGAATTGGCTTTTATCCGTTAATAACAATCACTATCACAGGAAAGTGGGTGAAATTTGTCGTGAGGAAATGCCGAAGTGGTCTTTACCACTCGGTAAAATATACATATACAGGGTAAAAAAGTAATAATTTCAAATTGAAAGGGATAAAAACCTACAATACTCTTCATATTATCGCTAAGATTAAGTCCAGAAAAACAATTCTGGTTTGTTTCCAAATTATTTCCGTCTTTATTGGCGATATAACCATCTAAAAGTCGTGCAAAATCACAAAGCTAAAAGCAAATTAAATCTACCCTGAAGTATAGATTTACAGAGATCATACGCGGTTTCCTTTTCATGTTTGGATTTCAAAATAAATTAAATTTCGTTAATTGTTAAAGTGACAACTTTCTTCTTTTTGCATTTTTCTCTAGATGTAAGGAGTAATCAGTTGTTAACTAAAAACGAAAAGTATTTGAACAAGAAAGATGGATTTGATAAGTCTGACATTACTTGAATGGACATTCAGAAGGATTCTTTGTTTAAAGGCTACGCCATTAGAAATCGCTTACCAAAAGTCAAGACTGTTACATGTTAATTTGACACGAATTCAAATATATCTTGCCTAACTGACAGCCTTGGTATATTGACCAGATACAAAAAGAAACAATATATAGACACCGAAAGTTAAGATCTTGACTGAAAATGGCTGCGATCAACGGCAATACTGAGCTTTCCAATTTGACAAGCGACAGAGATTTAGGCAATAATGTGTGGCTGAATGTGGGGAATTCACACGCCATATCTATGGCTTTTTCTATTCCTGCGATGGTCATGTCTCCTATTATCATTCTTGGAAATTCATTAGTCGTTTTTCAGTTTGGAAAGATCCCTTGAAGAAATTTAGATCTTGGCCTTCTAATCGCATCATCGTATCGATGGCAATTGCCGATCTTCTGGTCGGTATAGTGGTGTGTCCATTAATGGTGTACTGGGGCTGGGCCATTTTTCAGCAGGAAAAACTGACAACGTCAGTGCTAAAATCCTTTTTTGTCTTGACAGATGTTAGTTCGGGACACGTGTTACTTCTCACTGGAGACAGGGTATTTGCTTCAGTGACCCCTTTGCAGTATCGAGTTAAAGTAACAAATAAACGAGTTCGCATCGCAAGTGTTACATGTTGGGCGTATTTCATACTCTTTGGATGTGCATTTGGTTTGTGGGAAAAAGGATACATCATTCTGGTAACAATATTCATTGTACAAAGCCTCTTCATTCTTATAAGCATTTTGGTTTTAAACTTGGTCATTTTATTTGCCTTTCGAAAGCACCGCAAGACTACAGCAGCACAAGACCAGTCGACGGCAAATAACGAAATAATGCTTCAAACGGAAAGGAAACAAGGCCATCGCAATCGTGATCTCTGCGTTTCTTATATGCTCTGTGCCGTGGTATATAGTGCAGTTTTTGTTGTACTTTTGTACTTCATGCAGCCGCCATTTATGGTTGTTGCTGTTGGGTCATACAGTGACGGCTGCTTTATTGTATGCTAACTGTGGAGTAAATCCATTTTTGTACGCATGGTGGCTTCCCCGATACCGAGAAACCTTTAAACACTTTTGGAAAAAACGGCAAGAGTGTTGCTTTAGTCAAAACAGCCGAAGCGAAAACTATGTTTGTGAAACAAGACTTTAATGATTTAAGGAGAAGGCTGAGTAAGTGTGTGTAGAATCCCAGTTGATTTGTTTCCTAAATATTGCTCTGCCACAGATATGCAAATGTCAAGCTTCCAAGATCAACTTTCATGACTAATAACTATTGGTAGTCGCCATCAACCAGGTGCTCTTACCGATGTAAACCCGGCAAAACGTTTTATTACACAAATGCGACAAAGAAGCCATCTACACACAGAAGATGCAATTAGATTAGATAAGAACGGAGCGTTATAGTACCCACCTACCGAAATAATAACACTCACATAAATGTTTAGTATTTCTCTATAAATAAGGATTCTGGTGAAAGTATTAATTAAAAATGATAAGGATTCTGCATGAAAGCACTGTAAGAGATCCTGAGTTCAACTGCGTTTCAGTGTTTACACAGATTTTCTCACAAAGATTTGAGACTTGGCCAATGATCAGCGAACAAATATTTTTTATTCTTTAAAGAAGGACATTCAAGTCTGTAAAACGTGATAAATGAATCGCTGACACATGTATTTTGTTTCAGAAAATAATATCTTTCCGTAATTAACCTTAACGAAGAAACTTTACATGTGCACTGTGAAAGTGGGAAATAACTTCGTTTTTCTCGTATTGATTTTAGGAAAACGCTGAAGCGAAAACAGATTTAAAATTGTCGAGTTTTTCTTGCTGTAATCATGCGAACCTTGATACTTTATGTGTGTTCGCAGCAGTGGATTACGGGTAAAGTCAGTCAGCATTCAGATTTCCCTACAGGACACTCGGAAATGGCCTATCATTTGGCATGCTATTGCGTGTGTTATGCGCCCTAAAAACGAGTTGAGTCGTTCTAAACTTATCAGGTAAAAATATTGTCAAAAATCTACTGCTAAAACACAAGCAAACACACGCGCAGAATATTCACACTGTTATCTTTAACCTAATAATTTTGCAATAAAGTCTTGGTCTTTGACTCCACGGTAAAATATACATGTAAACATATCAGGTCCAAAAAAATAATATTAACTTCAAACAGAACGAGATAGAAATCTATTTAAAATTCATGCGGCCGGTAAAATCGCGCAGAATAACGATCATGGAGTTATCAGCCTCAAGGAAGAACTGAAGTCTACCCCAGCGATTATTGCTCGTTCAGGTCACCGAAAGGTTATTTCAAAATAACAAAATCCAAAGGCGCATTAACAAAAGACGTGAACGTGCACAAATTACAAGAGAATTTAAACAAGAGACATGACTACCAAATAGTTTCTATTTCGACAACACATGAATCATTAAAACTTTCTATTGTTCAAATGACAAGTAACTTTCTTCGTAGTTCTTCTCTTGATTCAAGAAATAAGATCAGCTGTAAACTGATCACGAAAACTAGAATGATTGAAAAGGTCTGCCATAACTTGCTTGGATGGTTGAGGGAGGTTTCTTTGTTTAATGACTATGACGTCGTAAGACATCGCTCACTCGAAGTTAACACTGTAGCATTTTAATTTGACACGATTCGAATATATACCACCCAACCTACAGCCTTAGTATATGGACTTGACCAGAACAGAAAAACTGAAATTTTAGATCTTACCAGTAACTTAAAACGGCTGCAATCACAGACAATACCGATTTCTTCAATATTACAAGCGACAAAGTTTTACGTGACGTGTGGCTGACTGGGGCGAATTCAAAGACCATATCAATGACTATTTTTATTCCTTCGATGGTCCTGTCTCCAGTTATCGTTTGTGGAAACTTACTGGTCGTTTTATCAGTTTGGAAAGATCCTCTGAAGAAACTCAAGTCTTTGCCATCTAATCACATCATCGCATTGATGGCAATTGCCGATCTTCTGGTCGGTTTAGTGGTGTGTCCGTTAATGGTGTACTGGGGCTGGGCCATTTTCAAGAGCAAAAATCTGACATTTCCAGTGCTCAAAGCTTTTTCCGTCTTAGTGGATGTTAGTGCGCGACACGTTCTACTCCTTACTGTCGACAGGGTATTTGCTTAGTAAACCTTATTGAGTAAAGTAACAAAAAGACGACTTGATATCGCCCGTATTGCATGTTGGGCATATTTCATACTCTTTGAATGTGCATTTGGTTTGTGGGCAAGAGGAGATCTCATTCTGGGAACAATCTTTAATATACAAAGCATCTGCATTCTTACAAGCATGTGGGTATTAAATTTGGTCATTCTAATCGCCTTTCGCAAGAACAGCAAGAATACAAAAACACGACACCAGTCAACGGCAAATCGCCAAATGATGCTTCAAGGGGAAAGGAAACTACCCAAGGCCATTGCAATCGTTATCTGTGCGTTTCTTATATGCTTCGTACCGTGGTTTATAGTGCAGTTTTTGTTCTATTATTGTACACCATGTAGCCGTCAATTATCGCGGTTGATGCTAGTTTATACATTGACTGCTGCTTCATTGTTTGCTAATTCCGGAGTAAATCCATTTTTGTACGCGTGGCGGCTTTCCCGATACCGAGATACGTTCAAATACTCTTTGAAAATCGGAGAGAGTGCTGTTTCAGTAAAAAGAGCCAAGTGGAAAAGTTTGCCTGTGAAACAAGGCTGTAAAATTTAAAGGAGAAGGTTATGTGAGTCATGCATAGAATCCCTGGAATGCAAATGTAAAGCTCCTAATACAAGCAGCCTTGTCACTTCCGGGACTTGTAACTTGCCATTAACGGGTCGAAAAGCTTCTAAAATAGAACTTGGAAATATCGTCAGTAGCAACAAAAAAAACTTACTTCCATGCACGTGACCCAGCAAAGGTTTGGCACACACCAAGAAGATGTAAATTAGATTAGTAGTAGCATAAATAACGCCCTTACTGTCAATATTGATTGTATAAAGCAGCTTAAGGTGGCTCGATACAGTTTTTCAGGACCAATACCTCCCAACTTTGAGCATAAACTACGTCGCCATAAACAAAGTTTTGGAAAAATTGCCACCACAGTTGTATTAGATGAAGATGGAAATTTGTTATGATCAGGGTTGCAACGGCATCGGAGTTGTCATAGCAACGAAATGACGCTATTAGCTATTTTACTTGCAGCAGTATATCTCGGCACTAGGAACTGTTCATCGAAAATCATTCACGGGAGCTTTTTCCTCCAATAGCAGCCTCGATGTTCGTGAAGTTTAAGCGAAATCTGTAAGAGCGTTATCGAGATATTTTGGGATAAAGAGTTTGTGGTTAGAAATACGGTAAAAAATAGACAATCTTGGTGTTCGGCTGTTATCTGTAGAGAACGAAGCGCTTTTGACATGCAATTTCACCTCATAGTAGTTTCAATCTTTTTAAAAACGTGTGAAAGATCAAGGAGATAGCTTCAGCCATTTGCTAGAAAGAAGGATTTGATTAGTATGTATCGACGCGCTCTGTTAGCGGTTTTTTGAACATTTTGGTCTACTTTAACAAATTAGCGAATAATTTTTAAACCGCTCGATAGATTTTTTTAAAAATTTAAGATTCTTGAGATTAACCTTCCTTTTATATGACCTTTTAGTTTCAAGATTATTGATATATTGTAAGGCAGTAAAATAAGGGCTACAATTCGCCAATATTTTGGCAGAAATTTTGTGTTTACAAGTGTGCGCCTCTCATTATTCAGGGTATTGTGTCCAAGTTTCATATTTTCGTGCACAACAATAGCTAACATTTTTGCATATTTCAACTGCATTGTTAGTTACTATTGTTCACGTGAAAATGAAACTTGGAGACAATGCCTTGAATAATTAGAGGCTTTCACTTGTAATGACGAAACTTCCGATAAAAAAGTAACAAATCGTAGCCCTTATTTCACTGCCTTACAACATATCAATAATCTTGAAACTAAAAGGTCATATAAAAGGAAAGTTAATCTCAAGAATCTTAAATTTAAAAAAAAATCCATCGAGCGGTTTAAAAATTATTCGCTAATTTGTTAAAGTAGACCAAGATGTTTACAAAACCGCTAACAAGAGCGCTTCGATACATACTAATCACACCCTTCTTTCTAGCAATCGGCTGGAGCTATCTCCCATGATCTTTCACACACGCTTTTAAAAAGATTGAAACTACTATGAGGTGAAATTGCATATCGAAAGCGCCTCATTTTCTACAGATAACGGCCAAACAACAATATTGTCCATTTTTTACTGCGTTTCTAACAATAAAAACTTTATCCCAAAATATCTCGATAACGCTCTTACAGATTTCGCTTAAACTTCACGAACATCGAGGCTGCTATTGGAGGAAAAAGCTCCCGTGAATGATTTTCGAAGAACAGTTCCTAGTGCCGAGACACCCTGCTGCAAGTAAAATAGCTAATAGCGTCATTTCGTTGCTATGACAACTCCGATGCCGTTGCAACCCTGATCATAACAAATTTTCATCTTTATCTAATACAACTGTGATGGCAATTTTTCCAAAACTTTGTTTATGGCGACGTAGTTTATGCTCAAACTTGGGAGGTATTGACCCTGAAAAACTGTATCGAGCCACCTTAAGATTTGCGTGGAAGCGTTATCTTTTGTTCTTTTCTGACTTCTAGGGAAAGCCAGCTACAAAAGGAAGGAAGATGTAATTAGATTTGTTAAGAACGGAGTGTTATAGTACCTAACCGGCGAAATAATTAAAATGATGTAAAAATGTTTTTTCTTGATAAATAAGGATTTTAGTAAAAGTATTAAAACAACGAGCATTCCGCATTAAAGAGCTTCATAGATTTTAAAAGAGTTCAACAGCGTTTCAGTGTTTACTCAGCTTTTCTCACAAAGATTAGAGACTTGGCCAATAATGCAGCGAAGTTATAGTTCTGAATCTTTTTAAGAACGACGTCCCAGTTTGTAAAGCGTGATAAATATATCGCTGACTCATGTATTTTGTTGCAGAGAATATCTTTCCGTAATTAACCTTAGGTGAAACTGTACATGTGCACTGTGAAAGTGGGAAATAACTTCGTTGTTCTCCTACTGATTTCAGGAAAGCGATGAAGCGAAAACAGACCTAAAATTGTCGAGTTTTTCATGCTGTAATCACATGAACCTTGATACTTTATGTGTGTTCGTTATAGTGAATTAGCGGTTTCGTCAATCAGCATTCTGATTTTCTAACAGGACACTCGGAAATGGCCTAAATTTGGCGTAAAAATTCTCGCCAAATTTGGTCAACAGTAGCTGGTTATCGTGAATTATGCGTGTGGTTTTAGCCAATCAGAAACGGGGAAATATTTTGAGTGAATAATAATCGCCTTGACTGATGAACTAAATGAATATGTTGGGGTTCAATTTTATCCTTGGTTTAAAGTTTATTTTCTTTTGTTTCAAACTCGTTATCCTACATCACCATACCCAAAAACAAAACAAAACAAAAGAAAATTTAAACCGAAGATGAAATTGAACCACAACATATATTTCAAGGATATGACTGTTAAGAAGACGTAAACGGTTTTGAGGACTTTATAACCAATTTAAGCTACAGAGATTTCCACTTAAGCAAATTAAAAAAAATGTGATTTTGATTTCGATTTAAGAGGAGTTTAAAAGCTTTCAGGTATGTTTGGACAGCATACGAATCATAACATTTTGTTAAAAGTGACAAGTTACTTCCTTTTTCCAATCTTCAACAATACCCAGCTGAAATTTTATTATGAAACATGTTAGGACCCAGTAGGAGGATTTAATGGCTCTGGCATTACTTGATTGGATTGTTGAATGAACTTCCTTTGTTTTGTGACCTTATTACGTCGAGAGAAGTCGCTCACGGCCCAAAGTCAATCCCAAGGGAAGTTGGGGATTTGTCACGAAATCAAACATCTCACCCAACTAACAGCCTTGGTATTCTGAGAAAAAAGCACTCGCTGATTTTAAAGAGAACAGAAAGTGAAGCTTTTCGTCTTAAAATGGCTGCGATCACAGGCAATATGACCAGCGAAGATTTAGCGAGCGCGTGGCAGAGAGTAGGAAATTCAAAGGCCATATCTATGACTATTGCTATTCCTTCGATGGTCATGTGTCCTATAATCATTTTTGGAAATCTATTGGTCATTTTATCAGTTTGGATAGATCCTCTGAAGAAACTCAGGTCTTCGCCTTCTAATCATATCATTGTATCGATGGCAATTGCCGATCTTCTGGTCGGTTTAGTGGTTTGTCCATTGATGGTATACTGGGGTTGGGCCATTTCACAACAGCAAAATCTGACACTTCCAGCGTTGTATTCTTTGGCCGTCTTAATAGATGTTAGTGCAGGACACGTGTTGCTTCTCACTGTAGACAGGGTTTTTGCTTCAGTGACTCCTTTGCAGTATCGAGTTAAAGTAACAAATAGACGAGTTTGCATCGCAAGTATTACATGTTGGGCGTATTTCATACTTTTTGGATGTGCATTTGGTTTGTGGGAGAAAGGATACATCATTATGGGAACAATCTTTAATGTACAAAGTTTCTGTATTGTTATAAGCATCTTCCTTTTAAACTTGGTTATTGTATTTGCCTTTCGCAAGCACTCCAAGACTACAACAACACAAGATTACTTGACGGAAAATCGGCAAATACTGATTCAAAAACGAGAGACGAAACTATATAAGGGCATTGCAATCGTGATCTGTGCGTTTCTTGTCTGTTTCGTACCGTGGTTCTTAGTGCAGTGTTTGTTTTATTTTTGCGCACCATGCATTTTCTCTCGGTTAATGTTGGTACATACATTGACTATCGCCTTACTGTATGCCAATTCCGGAGTAAATCCTTTTTTGTATGCATGGAGAATTCCCAGATACCGAGTTACGTTCAAACACTTTCTAAAAATTCGACAAAGGTGCTGCGTTAGTGAAAACAGCCAAGATGAAAACTTTATTGGTGAAACAAGGCTTTAATGATTTTTCGTTTCATGCACAAATTCAGTTGGGGCTTATGCTAATTGCATAAACTATGTTTACTACATTAAAATAACAAAAGGAAAAAACGTTAATTTGGATAACATTCAGTTGACAAGAGCAGGTGTTTTGATTGACGTTTTACTGGGTTAGACATTTGGCTTTAGTATATACTAAAACAGTGTATAGTGTTTTTCGCGCAATCTGATTGGCTACTCAGTCAGTGAATATCCTCCACTATTCACTGATTCACCTCCAGTTCCTCCGCTGTGCGGTCGTAACAAACAAAGAAATTTCACAACTAATCAAGCAAGCTGTTCCCAAAATAGGTGAAGAAGGTGACGAAGTTCGGTTAGGAAGTTTTAACAGGTAAAGCTTTGTCTTTTCAGTTAGACTTGAATTTATCGATTAAACCAGTGAAAACGTTTTTTATTTACAAATGCAAAATTAAGCTGAAGTCTTCTCTTAGTTGACTTACTCATGAATAAGCTCAAAACTAAATTAAATAATATTTAGTTTTTACAGAATGATTTTAAATTACAAAATTAATTCACAAATCCTTTTGAAGAAACCTCCCTGCAAGAGCTAAACAAATGCCTTCAAAAGTTTTATTTGTCCGCAAGAAAAAGCGACGACCGCGGCCGTTCGGTCATCGCGCACCAAAATTGTATTCGTTTGCAATTCTAAATAAAGTACAGTAAGTTTTAAATCAAAATACCTCGAAATCTGTTGTCTCAGTAACCGATTGACCGGATAGAATCCACAATAGGCTGTGAGTTATTTCCACGTTCAGTCGTTACCTCCACTCGTAAACATTTTCCAGTTTATTGTGCTAAATTGGGAATGTGTTGTCAACGACCTTTGTGGCATTGATAAGAAATTCCATCTTTGATATCCGAAGCGCCTAAAAGCCCGCAGTGATAAGCGCATGTGGCTCACTTCGCATTCAACAGGTAATATCTCAAAGAAATAATCTTCCTGTTTCCCACAGTTTAAATTTTTCATTTGAACATGCATTGTACTCTGGACAAAGTTCATGTCACAATATACTCTGTAGAGACGAAATCAGTATCACTTCTCTTGTGAGCCCAATCCTTTTGTACGACTGTGAAATGGGCACACTCTTTCTTTGAGACGTAAAAAATTTAATGACATTTAAAAACTAGGTGACTTAAACTATCGATCTGTGCTTGGCAACTTGACAAATCAAACTGATTTATCTAGGCTTTTTTCCCGATAAAATATAAACATACGACTTACTAAAGGCTTGGTTCCTTAACAAAATAAAAATGGCGGACAAAGAGCCAAACTTACTGCGATCCATGAATGTTTTTCCCTACGATGTTATGCTTTCGATAGTGTAATTTTTCTAAACGGACCAAAGAATTCTTTAGCAAAACTCATAATACCAATAAAGTTTTAACACAGCCTGCTATTTTCACGTTTTGTCTATGTTAAAAGGTAGGGATTAAATGCTTCTTTATAGAAGATATTGACTTGTTATGCCTCCTTATTCTTGTCATTTTGAACGCGCAAAGCGCTTTACCGCACTTCGCGCCTTCATGGGCTGTAATTTATGAAAGGCGCTTTTTTTTGGCAGTAAGTTCAAAATAAACTAAATTCAGGGCCTATGCTTTTACAGGGTTCGTACTCTTTTGAGCTCTTCAAATTCCATCACTTTCCATGACTTTTTTTAAGTTTTCCAAGACCTTAAGTTTAGCTGACAGTTTCAAAAATTTTAAAAACTTTCCTTGTTTTAGGGTATTTTTGGACCTTAAAGAGGTCAACAGACACAACTCTGGTGTTCACCACCAAAGTGCATGCCGTTTGCGCTGTTTAATTACTCCTCTTTCTCCTACATCGTCCTTGCCTTGTCACCTGAGGAACGAATGTACCAAACAAATATTTAAATTCTCCATGACTTTCAAGAACCGACAATTATATTCCAAGACTTTCCAGGCTTTCCATGACCTGTGCGAACCCTGTTTTACGCTGTGAAGCAGCAATTACTCAAAAGTAATTTGTATGTACTTTCCAAAGAAACTGTCATTATCTGAAATTCTTCTCAGCTTTTTATCGTCCAGGGAAAATTTAAAGTGTAAGTTATTTTGGAAAACACCTGGTTAGGTATTTTTTACGAAGCGATTATTTTATTCAACGTGGCGCCCTAAATGGCCAACTTCTTTTGGATGTGGATTTGCTCGAGTTGCTGTTAAACTTAGCATCCTGAAGGCTAATGGAAAGGTGGAGTATGACCACGAACAGAGGTGGAAAAAGTACTTAGATATTTTCCAAGGGGTACACAAAAGCCACTTCGAAGTAGACAAAAATTTATAAAAAAAAGCGGTCCAAGGCTCTTGAATACCATTTTAAGAGGTGGAAGACTGCCACAAAGAAAACTTATATAGAGCACTTTAGTCAAACAAACTGGAAAACGCTAACTGAACACGAGCAAAAGCAACATTCTCTGACAAATTGCAAGGCTAGTGATGTACACCACGTCTCCCATCAATCTTCATTTTCCCTATGGGGTAACAAGACAAACACTGCATAACCAGAAATTTCGGATAACATGGCTGCCAACACAGCCGCAAGCATGCGCAGATAACACAACAAGAGATTGAAAACTGCGGCAGAACAGGAAGGAAATATGGGAGAAAGGTTTTACTTTCCTGTTTTTTGTAATTTTCATTCAAATGGCCACTTTCCCCAGCTTAAAAATTAAAAAAGCAGTGATCAAACTACATTTTCATCGAACAAGAAATGACGATAATTTCATTCTAGCCACTGCCCTTTGCGAGCAGAATAACTCTAGACAGGTGCAATGGAAGCCCTTACTAACCTCTTACAACAGCGCTTACCTTCATGTTTTTCTAAGCGTGAGATGAGAAAGTTCCTGTCCCGACAAGTTTCCCCAGCTTCCCATTCAAAACATTCGATGTTTATCTTGCAAAACAAACGTTTTTTTCTCAAAAAAACTCTCGCTAAGGCACTGCCTTTTTACGAAGAAAATCAGGCTCGTTTGTAAGTGAAACCAATGAAGAATCGGAGCCATTACTGAGGGAAAAATGCTCAGAGAAGGTTTGTTTTCTTTCTGTTCGGGGGCTCTTTGGCAGGCATTGTTGTTCTACCTCGTTTCGATTCGTCAGCTGTATTCCCTGTTGTGGACGTCTCACTGCAATATGCAAAAGACAGAGAGGAAAGAAAAATAGCCTTGACCATTTGCTTGGCCTATTGCACCATTAAATAATAGAACTCTCTTATCAGACAGCGAGAAAAGGTCCCAAAAGTTAATCAAAATGAAGGTGAGTTATATTCTTTTGGTATTACAACCTACCCGCAGAGGCTCTGTCATTTTTTTTTTCATTAAACAGCTCATATGACTGCTTATTGAAAAGGATTAATGGACAAAGGCAATATCTTAAAGGAATAAAAAAATATTGTTTATAAAATTTATAGTTAATGATCCCTAATAATATCTGATAATCAATAATTTTTTTCACAGAAACTGCAAATGACCAGTTTTACTGGGTTTATAAAGGCCTCAAGGGGTTTTTGGAGACCAGGGAAGGCCAAAAGCCTAAGTTCTTCTTTGCTGATGAGAGAAGAAAACTTATGTACCCGTGTTGGTACGGTGGAAAGGGTGGCCAGCCAAGTACGATAGTTGGATTTCAGCACAACCCAGGCATGGTACGAATAAGAATAACGCCCCGTAAAAAAGCGCCCCGTAAAAAACGGGTCACGTGGTTGGACCAGATCCAGGCCGAAGCCAGCCGACCGCGGGCCAGTTACATGCCGACCCCAACAGACAATGCGAGTATCATGAAATTCATCCACAAGAAAGCCGCCGAACAACGACGAGTGATAGTCAACAGGATGGCGGGGGTCGCCTTTGGTCAACAAGCCCTCTGTTCTTACACAACGGCCCAAAAGAAACAACGCCGACGTGCCAGTTATCATCCGCCCATGCGCAAGAAGAAACCCGCCAAACAAAAAACCCTGCCTGACCCTGATGCAACATTGCCCAGCAAGTGTGTTTTCATCCCAAACAATTGACCTTTAATTCCTTGGTGGGACGAGTCCCTCGCAGCAAACAGAAAGTAGCCCAGTGGCTATAAAAGGACCCCACGCACCCTCCGACGAGCATCCTCATCATGAAAGGCATCCAACGCTTGACGCTCATCAGCGATCCGACCGACGAGTTTCCCAAAAATAACGGGGGCGAACAGTCCGTCCAGACCATCGTCAATTCCTATTTCGTAGATGGGTACGATCCCCTGACCCATACTGTCTACGAGTTTCATGGTTGTCTCTATCATCATTGTCCCCGCTGCTATCCCAACAGGCGAGCCAAGCATTATGCTGTACCGGACAGAAGCGTGGAGGAACTGTATCAAGCCACTCTTTCCAAACGCATGGCTCTGCTCAGATCGGGTTATGCCGTCATCGAAATGTGGGAGTGTGAGTGGGACCGTCTGGTAGATAACGAGCCTGCCGTGTCCCAGTTTCTTCGTTCATTCGATCTCGTACCACCCTTGGAACCCCGTGAGGCCTTTTTTGGGGGGACGAACAGGTGCGGTGGCCCTGCATGCTGTGGCTGGGGAGGGCGAGGAAATACGCTACGTGGATGTGACCTCCCTTTACCCGTGGGTGAACAAGAACTGCCCTTACCCCATTGGTCATCCGCAAATCATCACGCAGCCCATCGATCAGTCCCTGGGGTTGTATTTTGGTATCACCACAGTGGACATTCTTCCCCCTGCTGGTTTGTTCCACCCTGTCTTGCCCGGGCGCAATGGCCAAAAACTCACCTTTCCTCTCTGCCGCACCTGTGTCCAGGAAGAGCAGGCCAAACCGATGTTGAGTCGCAACCATTATTGTCCGCATTCCAATGCCGATCGCACGCTACGCGGGACCTGGTGCAACCCCGAGCTGGTCAAAGCCGTGGAAAAGGAATACAGCCTCGT